ATATTAGGAATTGCTATTATGATTTGGGGAAGTATCCCCCAATAACAGCACCTACGGTTGATGATATAAATCCTGCATTACCTTAAGGACCCTAAACTATGGGAATTATGGCATATTCCTTATAATGGGTCATGCAGGATTTATATCATCAACCGTAGGACCCTTTGCGGGAGCCTCTAGGTAATAGCATGCTTTTCAAGGCCCCGGCCCATCCTGGCAGGGGTTCGGGCCATAGGTCCTCGGCTTGAGGGTTCCCTTAAGGCCTCCCTCTATCGGTTCCTTTTAGGGTTCCTTTTCTGGTTCCTTTTAGGGTTCCCTTCAGGTCTTCCTGAATCGGTTCCTTTCAGGGTTTAGCGTTCGGTTTAAGGTTTAGGGTTCCTTTTAGGGTTCCTTCTAGGGTTCCCTTAAGGGATCCTTTAAGGCCTTCCTTATGGCCTCCTTTAAGGGTTCTCTTGAGGCCTCCCTTTATGGGCTCCTATGAAATTCAGGTCCACAGGTAGTATCCTACACGAGTGCATCCCAAATCTTGCATAGTCGACACACGTCTCATGTGTCAGATCCGAGCAAACGGAATCCTGCTTTTGGATGATCCAGTACTGGAAGGATCATGGGACTTAGTAACTAGGGTTACTATTGGGGTAACTATACTAAACATTACTTATCACCCCAACTAAGGGACTTATAACCATACTTACTAAGTCCCATGATCCTCCAAGTATGGTTGCTCTCCTGCCGCTCTGAGCCCTCTAAGCTACGACATCATGAACTCTCAACTGCACCCGAGTTCTGAGGCACTGAACGCCCACAGCCCTGAACCTCAGACCCCAAGGTGCCCCGAACCGAAGCCTGAAACACTCAAAACCCCGGAATTCAGAAGCTGAAAGAGAACTCCAAAGGCTCCATGCACATATATATATATATATATATATATGTATATATATATATATATAACATAGATATATATATATATATATATATATATATAGCATATATATATATATATATGTATATAACATATATATATATATATATATATATATATATATAAAATATATATAGCATATATATATATATAACACACACATATATATATATATATATATATATATATATAACATATATATATATATATATATATATACATAGATTATGGACTTATATAGAGTATCTGCTTCGGCCCTAAACGGCTTGTTATATCCTGGTAGGTACTTTAAGGTTTCAGTACACACGGTATCCTGCATAGGTACTTTAAGACCTATAAGTTTTAGCCTATACGATAGGGCACAGGAAGCCTTGAGGGAACCTTCGCATTCTAAGCTCGCCGCAGCACGGTGGACTGCATTTGCAAATCTTGGGGGAGGTCGCCTGCTCTGTGCTTTTGCTGCCCAATGTCTCCAAGGTGGTTACTTAGACCCTGGGACTCAGGACCTCGGGTTTGTAAATTTTGATTCTGGTTGTAGGCCTTAGCAGAGAAATCTTAAAAGCAGGTACCAAAGAAGATCATGCGTCATTGTCAGAAGCCCTACCTTAGCCTCAGCTTCTAAAGCCTGACAGGTTTGGGAGTACAAGCTCAGGAAACGCGGCTTCGGGTGGGGGAGCAATGGTTGAGGTTTAGGAGTTCAGAGGTTCGGCAGCAGTTGGAGGATCATGGGGCTCATACGTACTTTAATCGGGCGTATACGTCACTGAGAGTACAGCTACCCAGCTACCCTAAGAATAATCCTACCCTGGGGATCAAAGTGGCCCAAAAGCCTTAGATGGTATGGTCTTTGGGTCCAAAAGCCCTAATGCATTTGCATGAGTCCTTAGAGCCCTGCAGGGCTAAGTCTTAAGTCTCATGATCCTCCAAGCAAGGGTTGAGGGCTTTTGCGTTGAGGCTTCAGGAGGGACCTGGGTCCCTCTGGAGTTCGGTAAATTAGGGCCATTTTCAAATATTTTTTAATAAGAATGCCGTATATACAACTTCGGGGACCTACAAGAAGAGACCCTGGTGTAGAGAACTACCCTTCTGTTAAAGGAGGCATGCAGGTGGTTGTCAAAATTATGGTCCCTTCTGGGTACCCTAAGTATTAGGTGCCGTACTATGTTAGGGACCCAAAAAGGGACCATAATTTTGACAACCACCCATGCAGAGCGTGGGGAGCGGAGTTTAGGACTCAGCTTAGGGTTTAGGGTCTGGGTCTAGGTCTGGGGTTCCAAGTCCGGGTTAGGGTTTAGGGTTGCCGCATCTCGTCGGTTTGGTGCTCCAACATGTCCGGGACCTATGAAAGAACATGTAACATGCTGTGTGGTTATGTGGTCTGTATAAGTTGTAAGATACACCCTGCCAACTTTCTGACCAATGAAAACGCCCTGGACGTACCGACAGCCTGTGGAGTCCGTGGCCAGGAAGATGTGGCGATGGGCAGTCGAAGCATTGAAGTACCTGCAGCTTAGGGTCAGGCTTTCAGGTCGCGGTGTTACGGCTTTTTGGTTTAGTGCACTATTTGGGTATATGGACCCTACCCGAAGGGTCCTAGGTGCTGTTATGGGGGATACTTCCCCAAATCATAATAGTAATTCCTAATATAGAAACCCTACATTCTACTATAAAGGTACTTTGGACCCTCTGGGCTCAGGTAACCCTAGGGCATTACAGGGCTAGACGCAGTTGAACCGCGGATGTCAGACTGCTCCGGGCGCTCCCGCCAGTTTAGGCAGATGAAACCAGCCCCCCCCCCGCCCGTGATTCACCCCGCAGGGGCTTGCTTGGGGTTTAGGGGCTTGGGGTTTAGGGTTTTTGGGAATTATCCAGGCAGCCAAATTTCCAAAACCCGAAATCCCAAACCGCCAAGACCTAATACTACGGTTGATGATACAAATCCTGCATTACCCATAAAAAGGAATATACATAATTCCCATAGTTTAGGGTGCTTAAGGTAATGCAGGATTCTTATCATCAACACTAGGACATAGGTATGCAATCGGAATCACCGAGGCCGACAATGGCACAGAGCGCAGAGTCAGAACCACACAAAGAACCGGAAGACTCGTAGACTCTGCAACCGTTTTAATCCTACGCCCTCAATCCTAAACTCTTAAAGAAGAACCTACCTTCGTAATGTTTTAAGGACTTATATTAATTATATAAGGAAATCAGAATAAGGAACCCTAAAATGGTAGGTTCTTCAGGGTTAAGGTTAAGGTAAACTCTAAGCCCTGAACTCTAGGCCCGGAACCCTCAATTCTAAACCCTAACTCTGAACTCCAAACCCTTCTGAAGCTGATCGATCCTTACATGGGCAGGAGCACGTGAGCAGGGGAAGCAGGGCATTCAGAGGCCGATAGGCCCCGCAGCGGACCTGAGAAGAGGAAGCTGGTTTAGGGTTTATACGACTTCGGGATCCTAAGGTTTTTTTTTCATTTTTATGGGCCCTTTTCGAACTGCAGAACAGTTAGAATCCTATACTAGGAGGATCCTAGGGTTTAGGCTTCAGGGCTTGGAATCTATGGGGTCTTTTCCGGTTTGGGGTTTGGGATTTAGGCTTCAGCAGGACCCCCTTGGGGTCCCTTTAATAGAGTCCTTTAAGCCGTTGATATTGGGTATTTGGGGTACATTAGAGGGTAGTTGGGGGTCTAGGCGGGTGCGGGGACCCCAAACCCTAGCGGAACCCCATGCGGTGTTTATGGAAGCTGAGTTGTAACCCTCTTATAGGGGAGATGAAGGTAAACCTTTGAAATCTGGATCAAAAGGCTTTAAATACTACCACAAACAGGTGCAACATTACATACTCTACTACTAGGAAGCTGTCAACATCATACAAACACGAACACGACCCTATACTGTCCCGAATCCTAGTAAGAAATCCTGAACCGTGCAACTCTCGCGAACCCGACATGTCTTGCGACGTACACATAACCCCAATTCCTACGGCTGATGATATAAGTCCTGCATTACCCATAAGAAGGAATATACCATAATTCCCATAGTTTAGGGTCCTTACGGTAATGCAGGATTTATATCATCAACAGTATTGGTCCTAAGAACAAGAAAAACAGGCAATGCACAAAAAACAACAGTCCCTTAGACACATAATCGAACATAACATCACTTTACTGAGCCCTTGCGTTTATGCTATGTACGCATACGAATGGCGATCTCGATCAACGGCATTTATACTGCTGGTGGACAAAATCCTGCATGACCCTAAGGACTCTAAACTATCGGAACCATGGTATACTCCTTATAATCATCAACAGTAAGAGCCTAAAGGCTGATCTCTGGACCCTAAACCCACTGCTGGTCTAGTCCTGAAGCTTGAGCTGCCACCATCGTGCCTGAAACGTTCCGCCAATCGCTCATAAACGCTAAACCCCTAACGCATAGCCCTGAAGCCTAAAACCCTCAATATAGTGTAGTAGATAACTATGAATCTTAGGGGTTTAGGGTTTAGGGTTCAGCATAATGAAGGTAACTATAAGGGGATACAGACTGTAGCTGCTCCGACCTCCACATTCCTCAACGCCTCGACTCAACCCCAAACCATGAAAGAAGACCCGGGAGCCATTTTGCCTCTGGCGCATGCTGCTCTCCTGCACTATACTAGACACACGGACTCTAGAAGGTTTTTGATTACAATTGTAATATGTTCTCCGGGAGAACAAGACGCTGAACCTTGAATCACTGTCTCTATCATGCGGCTTTCATCTGAGAGAAAGTGCTTTTAATGTCCACTGCTGTGATGTCAAAGACACGCACAAAACATTAAAACACAAAACTAAACCCTAAACCCTAAACCCCTAAACAAATCACGATATGTTTAAGTTTAGCTCCAGGGCTCGGGGTTCAGGGTCGGGCCTCTCTGGGCATAGCGACCCCTTAGCTTACTCTAGGATGCCCAGTAACCCAGGGATGAAAAGGGCTCCCTTTATGGTACTGGTATTGGGTAACTTTAAAAAGAACCTAGGACTAGAAAAAGGGAATAAGGGTACTACTGGGCATCCTAGTACTTAGCTTAGATTCAGCTGCTCTTCTTCACTGCTTCTTCGATCGCCGCCCCACTGCCAGCAGGATACGCCCCCAGGAGCCTAAGCAAGGAGGAATGAGTTGCGGATTGAACATGTCCGGAGCTTAGCAAAAACACAAGTTCAAGACTTTAAATCCTGCACCGAGAGGTTTATATGGGGCTGTCTGGAAGGCTGTGGGAGTTGTAGGAACCGTAGGAGCTTTGATTCCGTGCTGAGGTCTTCGCGTGCTCGCGGGCCGAATCGAGTTGGGTTTCGGAGAATATGAGCCGAAAAGTAAAGCCACTTCAGGACTGGGGTTTGGGGTTTTGGGCTTAAGGGTTCGGGGTTCCAGGTTTAAGCGTTTAGGATTTGGGACTTTGGGGTGTATGCGGTCCAGGGGTGCGGGTTTGATGTCTTCAGTGAAAGGCTTGGATTTGTAAGGCTACGTTCCTGAGTAGCCCCTGAAAATAAGGGCATCCTTTGTAGGGGGACTCTACTCAGGAACCCTAGAAGGAGTGTGCAGACTTTTGAGTCTGGGGCTCATTGTTGTAGTTAGTGGCATTGACTACGACCTTAATTTCTGTATTTGGGATATGGGGCATCTGTAACCCTTACCCGAAACCGGAAGTATAAATCATCCTAAACCCTAAACCCTGAACTCTACCCCAAACCCGAAACCCCCAACCCAACACATAAAGACCCTAAACCCCAACTCCTGAACTCTACACCTGGAACCCGGAACCCAAAACAAAAAAACTCCTCAACCCCACACCCGTCACAAACCCCTAACAGGGTTTAGGGTTTAGGTTTTTAGGGTTTAGGGTCGGTGACTTCAGAAATAGTTTCAGGGGCATATACGGGCGTTAAGATTTGGAATATGGTTTGTAGGGTATACTATGAGGGAATGTACAGCGAAAACATGTAAAGGAACCCTAGCCTCATGCTCCTGGACCCTTTAGGTTTCCCTAAAAGGCTTCTTAAACAAGGGATCTACAAGGATTCTATATTGAGGGTTGTAAGGTTTCTTAAAGGGTCATGGGACTTAGTAACCAGGGTTCCCTAAAAGGCTTCTTAAAAGGGCTCTACAAGGGTTCTATAATGAGGGTTGTAGGGTTTCTTAAAGGATCATGGGACTTAGTAACCAGGGTTATTACTAAGGGAACTATACTTATAAGAACTTATAGCCCCAATGAAGGTACTTATAACCATACTTACTAAGTCCCATGATCCTCCAAGTACTTCCCATAACCCAAGAACCAAAATCGCGACCCTTGGAAACTGTTCAATGTGGTAATCTGACTAAGAAACCCCTGGCCCAAAACTAGGAGCCATAAAGAGAACCCCAATACAGACCCAAGTTTTCTTAATCAAGTTCCTGCCCATAAGCTCCAGCTCCACAATAGTTTCTCTTTGGGGCTCATATTTAGAATCCTATACAGTAGAAGCCAGAAAGTTGGAACATTAGTTCAGGAGGATTAGTGCTAGGAGCCCTTATCCTTTGCCTTAAGGGCATGAGGATACTAATGTTCCAACTTTCTGGCATCTACTATGACTATGTGATAACCCCAAAACGGAACGACTCTGGAGCCTCGGCTTTGAAAGGAGCCTTCAAGCGTCGGCCTCGTTACTGAGGGTTAGGGGGTTTAGGGTTTGGGGTTTCAGGTTTAGGGCTTAGGACCAAAACCTGTGAACGTTCTACCGGGAATAGCCCGGGGGCTCCGAATAGCCCCATCAAATTCGCCATGGAGCTCAACACTTTGTAGGCCTGAAGAGCCCAGGGAGGAGAGAAGTCCTTCGATCAGCTGCTGTACCTCTGCGATCAGGATTCATAACCTAGAAGCTCCTCATAGACTAGCATTGTGGAATTATGTGCCTAGTACCATACTAAGGATGGTCTTTTATGACCTAAGTCCTTACAATGGTAGTATATGAGGAGCCTTATACCCCTAAACCCTATAATGTAGGAACCTGATTAAGAAACCTTGGACCCTTGTTCGGGTTCTTTATATGAATCCTAATATTTTGGGGTTATGGGGCGAGGGTTTCTTAATCAGGTTCCTACATTAGAACACCAAAAAACGAACCCACAATGGTAGTGTATGAGGAGCCTCTGGGTAAGGCTTAAAGCTCTGAGGTTTCGAATCTGCGACGTGTTCTTGTAGGCGGTTGAGGGTTTCGGGGTTTAGGGTTTAGGGCTTATAGGGTTTAGGGTTACTTATAGAGTTGTGGATTGAATGTTGTCCTGATGAAAGTTTGAGTAGTTTACAAATGCTCTTTCAGGCTTTCCCTCCCGGTTTCTCTTGCTGTTTCGGCTTTCACGGTCAGGGGCAACACAGGGTCTTTGCTCGGGTTCCCCTGTAGAACTAAGATTCTGCTTGACTTTCAACTTCGGACTTTGCATGGGTTTGCTGTTTTCGCCTGGGCCACGAGACCGTGTGACAGTTTGTGTTTGAATTAGCATCCATTTAGAAGTACGACAGGTCGGTCAGAATCCACTTTACAGCTTAGGTTCTTGTAGGCGCACGTGCATCTCGAAGATGCGATCTATTTCGCGCCTGACGAGTGGGGGTTTCCGAAACTAGGGGACTTAATATTAATATTAATATGTACATATATATATATATATATATATCCAAAATAGTAGGATCCTTGTTTTTTAAGGACCTGAAATAATGAGGTACCCCTAGCTTCGGAAACTCCCACTGGCTCAGCCGGAAGCAATTGAAGTCCTGAAAGCGATACCCCACAGCAGCAGGCCTCGACACCATCGATGCAAACCTCAGTTCCATTAATGACACAAAGTCCGGTCGTCTCGGCTGCTACGTACTTCCCATGGACTTTAGTTTGGGAATTTCGGTTATGTGCCTGCTTCAGGAATTCCAGAAATCGTCGACTTTGCATTCAACATTCAACACTGCACAGCAAAACGTGAATAAGAAACATTCCATGGGATGCTGACACACATTGTCGGGATCAGGAAACCGGCATAGATGCCATACATCGAAACCTCTCAACTCTAGTCTTAGCCCTTGAAACTCCGGTGTCCTGTGGCCTAAACCCTTCACCACGAAGACTCCTTAGGGTCAGAACCTACTCTTGTTCTGCGTTCTGGGGGTACAAGAACGGCTTCGGGCGGAGTCTAGCACGCGAGAGTCTACGAGAAGTAATTGGAGGCTTTTCATGCTGGGCCTTGGGGCTTGGCAAGACTGGCTGTAGGCTTTAATTTACGCGTACAGCTTCTTCATGTAGCTGCTTCGGGGTTGAAGCACCCCAGATCGCAGCTTTCGTAGCTGCCACCCTTTGCTGCCACGTGGCCAAAGACGCGCTGCCTGCAGCAGAGAAACGGAACCCATATGAAACAGGGGGCCGCCGAGGATGTAGCAGACTTTGCACATGTCGCATGTCCGAAAAACTATGCTACGTTCACCTGACAACCTGATACCTTGACCCAAGTGCACCCTGAATTGGAAATCCCTTATCTCCATATCCTGAAGACGCTCCAACGTCCCCAAGACGCAAGCCGAGACGAAAGTCTGACCCCAAGGCACTGTGCTTGGTCTTAGAGCTTTGGGGATCAGGGTTTAGGGTTCAGGGATCAGGGTTTAGTGTTCAGGGTTTAGGGGTTCAGGGTTTACGTTTTAGAGGTTTAGGGTTTGTTGAATCAGTTGGCAGATGAAGTGGGCAAAGGCACAATTCACAGTGTTTTTCAAATTCTGCAACGCAGGCTCGCCACCTAAAAACACCGAAGCTCTGATCCCTGAACCGCCAAAGCCTTAGTGGATGCCTAAACCCTGAACTCCTTGCCCCGAAACCCCAATCCCCAAAGAACCCTTATCATCTATAACTTAACCTTAACTTATAAACCTGAACTCTCCAAGGGCCCTGATACATATAGTACCTGAAGCCTAAACCCTAAACCCGGCAAAAGCCCCAGCACTAATTCCATCACCCCGAGAATCCACAAACTTGCCTTCGATCGTCGCGAGCGACGCGCCAGCCGTGCTGCCGGCCTCTCGTCTGTTGTCTTCTTGCATGGTGGTTTATAGGGTTCTGAGTTTAGGATGTTTGTTTGGGGGAAGGGGGGGGCGGTTGGAGTGGAGGCTGGCTCAACTTTAGGTTTTGATTTTCGACGTGTTTATTGATTGGGGCCTGTGTTTCTTCCGGCTTGTTGGTTTTCAGTGGTTGTAGATGGCTTCAGGGTTTGAGGTTTGGGGCTGGCGACTTGGGGCGTAAGGTTCAGGCTTTGGAGTGCAAGGCTCAGTGGACTTGGGAATTGGTCATACTGGTAGACGTACCCGTGCCCTAAGTGTCGTGGTGGGCAGCGGAGTGGCGGGGGATGGCCGGCTGGCTACGGCAAAAATCAAGTGCTGAGCTGGCAATGTATCATGGCAAGGAAAGATGAGCGTTGATACTGCTGATGGACAAAATCCTGCATTTCCCATTATAAGGAATATACCATAGTTCCCATAGTTTAGAGTCCTTAAGGTCATGCAGGATTTTGTCCATCAGCAGTAATGCCGATTCCACACAACCAGTTCTTGGGACACCAGGATGTTCGGTAGCAAGACGAGGTCTAAGGACTGAGCCTGCAAGGTGCAATGGAGGTACCGACAGAAACGAGAAAGTGGTGTTCGGGCAACGGTACTATGGGTATAGCCCTTCGGGATGAGACGTAGACGTATATGTACTGCTCGTAAGGATGTTCCGACGTATTTGATGCCTCTACATTTGTCTGATGATGTGTTGTGTGTGTGATCTTCGGTCGAGACCAACTTAGTTGCGAAACGTACATATCCAAGCTCTTCAAGTCCGTCTGTCCGTCAGTCAGTCGGTCGGTCCGTCGGTCAGTCAGCCAGCCAGGCAGTCAGTCTCTTTGTCTGTCAACCTGTCCGTATGTCTGTCCGCCTGTCTGTCTGTCTGTCTGTCTGTCTGTCTGTCTGTCTGTCTTGTATGTACGTCTCTATACATGCACCTGCACTAAGAAGCACACATGCGTACACACCCGAGTACCTACCTACATACCCATCTACCTACCTACCGACCTACATGCATACACACGTACATACAGTTACATACGTACATACATACATACATACATACATACATACACACATACACATATACATACATACATGCATGCATGCATGTAGAACTACTTATTGACATACATACATACATATATGTCATATGTACATGCATGCATGCGTGCATACATATTTACATACATACCGATGCGGCTCAGGTACATGAGCCTGGCAAGGCCAGCCCATCGATGCATCAATGCCGGCACTTGTTATTTCAGCTCATGCACAGTGCCCTAAGCCCTAGACCCGCAACCCCTGAAGAGGCTTCGATCAAGTAGCCACCTCAAAAACTTAAGCATGACCAACGTCTCCTGTACATAGTACGTCTACATTATCAAAGCCCCTGTACTTGGAGGGGCAGGGGGCTTAGTAAGTAGGTTATAAGTAGGGATATACTTGCGGTAACTCTTATAACCCTACTTATAACCTACTTGGTAAGCCCCCTGCCCCTCCAAGTAGACCCTAAACTCCAAACCCCATAGATCCCTTTAAAGGAACCCTAGAGATCCCTTTAAGGAGCCCTTTAAGAACCCTTACTAAGTCCCCTGCCCCTCCAAGTATGAAGGCCTGGGCCCAATCTTCGGCATCTTTCGCGCCGAGACCAACCAGAAGAACTCGTTGGAGGCCTCTTCAGCCGAAGCAGAGCCGGCACGTTTCTCGAGGCCGCACTGTGTTCCTTTTGGATTTAGGGTTTAGGGGTTTAGGGTTTGGGGTTTAGGGTTTTAGGGTTTAGGGAAAGTTTAGGGTTTGGGGTTTAGGGGCTTAGGGGTTTAGGGTTTAGGGCGCAGAGTTTATGAGGGTTTCAGGTAGCAATAAGCCTCATGGAGGGCTGGGAACTAGACTATGACTTAATCAAGTGGCGCTTGCAGTGACCTAAGTGGGATTGCCATGTTTAGGACTTCTTCTGTACTCGGCGAGTGGAATGACCCAAGAGGTTCACGGGTTTGGGCATAGATGCTGGATTGCGCTGTGGAGTGTACTGAAGGGTTTCTTGAAGGATCATAGTCATACGACTGCTTATAAGAAGTGCCAACCCTAAATGGTAATTGCCCGACTGGCGCCTAATCCCCAAATCCTGAACCCTAATCCCCAAAATCTAAACCCGAATCCCCAAATCCTAAACCCTAGGCTCTAAACCCTAAAAAAACCCTAAGCCCTAATCCCCAAACCCAAAACCCCAAACCCAAAATCCCCAAAGAAATGTCGAACCGCCGGCCTTTGTCGGAGACCTCCAGGAGCTCAGACTCAGCAAAAAAGCTCAGGGAACACTCCGAGAGAGCCGAACACCCCCGTAATTTAGGCTTTAGGCTTTATGTGTTTAGGGCTTTAGGGTTTAGGGCCTGTTTTAGGGTTTAGGGGTTTGGGGTAGACGGGGTGGGGGGGGAGGGGGGTTAGGATTTATAGCTTACTTCCCCAATAAGCCAGGGAAATAACAGGTTAACTTTCAGGTTACCACTAACATATATTATCCGAAAAAGTTTAGAGGTTGGGAATTGCAGAACTAGGAACCCCAATAATCAATGTAACTTCGGAACAAGACTATATGTCATTTTGCCGGAGGCGCCTTACTTTGATCCCAAACCCTAAACCCTAAGAAGATCCCAGGCAGAATCGACTCCCGAGTTCAGGGCTTTAAGGGGCTCCTTGGGTTCTGCCAAGCCCCTGCGAAGTCGGCTGTTTACTTGGAGGGGCAGGGGACTTAGCAAGGGTTCTTAAAGGGCTCCTTAAAAGGATCTCTAGGGTTCCCTTAAAGGGATCTATGGGGTTTAGGGCTTAGGGGTTTACTTGGAGGGGCAGGGGACTTAGTAAGTAGCTCATAAGTAGGGTTATAATTGGTGTAAACTCCATTTAGGTTACTTATAACTCTAGCCTACTTACTAAGTTCCTCTGCCCCTCGCAGTCGGCTGCCGAAAGGGTCCTATGTACTGTTAAGGGGGATACTTCCCCAAATCATAGTAGTAATTCCTGAAATAGAAAAACCTTCATTCTACCATATAGGTACTTTGGACCCCCTTGGGGCTGCTCATTCGATTATACAGAGTCATACTGCTGGAAAACTTACCACTGCTTCGAAAGCCAGTGACTATCGGTTCCGTCATCATTCACCCTAGGCGTCCATGTACCTAGTATATGTATATATATATATATATATATACTCTGGTTCTCAAGTACCTACTGGAGCAGCTCCGGGCCAACCGCCGCGTTCAGATGGTTCTTCACCGCGTCCAAGGCGCGAAACACCCCCAGACACGCTGATATGGCCGACTCCTTGTCACTCTTCAGGGGGATCCTCACCGCCGCCGATCCAACTCCCAGGGCTACAAATTTCTCTTTGGTGGCTGTGGAGGTGACGATCATCCTACTCACCGCGTCCGCAACGGGGTGACACAATTTGTGGAAGATGACGTCGTCCCACACCGCGTCTGTCACGTGCCAGGCGGCCGCCAGCTTTCTCTCCTTGTTGAACTGTCCGTCCACCCCAGTCTTGGTTAATTATTGTGTGTTACCCCTGGGTGTCTGACAGCCCCCAGTAAGCCACAGAAATGAAAGGATATCCTTTCCGACAACTACTAAACTACAAAAACCCAGCAAGCATAAAGGTCGGGTATTGGGGAACTAACCCTACACCCTAAACCCCTAAACCCGGAAACCCTAAACCCCCAACCCCTAAATCCTTAAAGATCTCAGGAACATTCTGAGCGCTGCACTGTGGCAGGTGATGCCGTAAAGCCTGACACATGGGCTCACAAGCCCGTTGCTTTCCAACATCTTCCAACAGGCATAATGTAGGGGGCTTAACTATGAGAATAGGGTTCCTTTAAAGGGGTCTGCAAGGGCTTCTATAGGAGATCACAGTGCAGGGGCCTCGAGAATTAGAATAGGGTTTTGGTGGTATAGTAGACTATAACTATAATAAGGAGCCCCCACCAACAAAAAGAACGATCCTAATTATTAAGCCTCCGAAACCCCGAACCCGAAAGAAATACAATAAAGATATGCCATCTCGTCAACATTCTGAATGGTTGCTGCTGAAAGCAAAATGAACCACTGTCCGGAGATTGTACCTGCATGAGTTTGTACCTAGACCCTTAAATGCCTTGCCAAATTGGTCACATTGGTTTCTGTTTTGGGTCCGGCACAAAAACAAGTCATCCGATAACAGGTACTACACTAAAGGATCTAGGGACTAGGTCGTGCATCGCTATCGGAAAAATGTTGTTTCGGGTTTGAAGGTTGGAGGAAATCATGGCTGCTTGCGACTGGCGAAGCCCTGACAAAAAGAGGGGCCTGAAAAATTCGATCGTGGCTTTTAAAATTTACGGTCCAGGGTTTAGGGTTTAGGGCTTAAGGAGTTAAGTGCCTTTTGCCTTCCACTCGATAATGAACCGCCAACTTCCTGCAGCTTTAATTTACATCAGGACATTACAGGCCTGCGAGAAGAAACACATAAAGCCGACACCGCAACTGGCGATGTATTCATAGATGGGTAGTTGTCAAAATTAGGGTCCCTTTTTTGGGCACCCTAAATATTAGGTGCCGCACTATAATGGGGTAAAAAGGGACCCTAATTCTGACAACCACCCATATAGGGTCCCTATTGTAATACGGCACCCTACATTTGGGGTACCCCAAAAAGGGACGCTCCATATATGACACCACATTCTCCCGGCTTGGCCGACTTCAGGCTCGCAGCATTTTCCTTGTTGTCCATCCTAATCGACATAATCCAAGGGTAAAAGGAGGGACCCTTAACTAAGGACCCCTGGGTATATCCCCTTAATATATCTATCATACAACCATTATATAGCCCATTATAGGGTAGGAGTCCCCATTAAAAGTCCCTCCTTTTCCCCTTTGACATGATGCGGGCGAGAACAACTAGGTCTGGCCTGGAAGACATCCGACAAATGTGTGCAGATCAGATCCTCAAATAGAGGCAAAATAAGAGCGACTGGACAATAAGATCGCAATACGACCACGACAAGAAACCCAAATTACCCTTAACCCCTAAACCCTACTGCCGTAAACCTTACCCGCCCAAAGCCATATAGTCATATAGTCGCCCCGTCAAGGAAACCTTAAAGAACACCTGAGCCCAAAAAACAACTACACTCACCTTACTACCCCAATATGTCAGGGAAATGAAGATGTTAAACTTTCAGATTACTACTAAAATATACAAACCCAAGAAGTCTAAAGATTGGGTTTTGGAGAACTAAGTCAGAGAGCCCATAAAGTAGCCCTCTCAAAGGGACCCTTCAGCCGAAGAGCCCTAACCTAAACTTAAAACTAAACGCCAGAACTCCCAAACCCCAAACCCCTAAACCCCTAAACCATAAACCCCAAACCATAAACCCCTAAACCCCTATAAACCTTAAACCCCTAACCCTTAAACCCCAAACCATAAACTCTCTAAGCCGAATGATCTGACGGCCTGTGTCATCGATGAGCTTCTGCAGCTTCCCTGATGTTGACCTAAGGCCGGGATCCTTTAGGGCTTAATTAGGGTTTAGAGTTTAATTAGGGTTAAGGGTTTAGGGTTTGATTAGGGTTTAGAGTTTAATTAGGGTTTAGGGTTTAAGGGCTCCTTCAACGTTAGGGATTAGGGTTTGAGGCTTAAGGGTTCCGATGAAAGTCTATTTCGGGTCTTCCCAAAGGTTCTTCAAGGGTTGCTTCTGCAGTTCCTTCAGAATTCTTTACAAGGGTCTGCTTGGGTGCTTCAAGAGTTCCTTTAGAACTCTTTTACAAGCTGTTCCAATCGGTTTCTATTGCCGGTTAGGGTGTCAGGGCTTAGGCGTTACGCATAGTCTCCATTGAAACGCTCTTTGCGAAAACCCTTTTAAACCCTAAACCCTAACCTGCCAGAGGGATTGCCAATTGCCTTGACTAGAGCCCCTAAGGATCCATGTTTGGGTTTAGGGTTTAAGGGTTTGGGGGTCTATGTCAAAACTGATCTTTCCGAACAGGTCACGATTTTTTCTCAATGAGGCAGAGGTTGAAACAATATCGTACCGACTGCAGATTTGAAGAAAGGCCGGGGGTGTTTAGGCTCTGCACAGCAAGTACAGTACGTGGACGTAGCTGAAGTTCAGAGCCACGATACAACCAGCCGCTTTGCAGTTTATTGCTTTGAACATCGATGCTCCTAAACTGGAAACCCCAAAATCCCAAACAGAACCCTGAACCCTGGCTCCATCTGAACCCCAGAACCTCTGACACGGAAAGCTCTCACGGCACTTCGCACATGAGTTGCGAAAGTAAGTCTCCTGGTTCACAGGGGGTTCACAGGAGAGTGATAAGAACAACGACCGACACACCTGAAGAAATTGGTTCTCCGGCGTCCCAAATCGCAGACAAAAGAGACCGTTCCGGATTTCTCCTCAGCGCTGCTTGCGGCTGTAAGCCAAGGGCTGAGCCTCAGTTTGATGCCGCGTGTCTAGCAGCTAGCTGCTGCAGTCTGTAGGTGGGGGAGCATGGTTTTGCAAGGCCTCGGCAAGGACGATCTGCAGCTGCAGGCGCACCTGCATATAATTCATGCACCTCTGTCGCGGCTGCAGCAGCTCCGCGTTACTGTCGAAGGAAGCGGGAGCGTTTTCGTTTATGCAGAAGCGGGCACTGCGCAAGCGCAGGAGTTTGCAGACAGCTGACAACAATGTTTAGCAACCCTGCCTGATGCCCTGACAGGGCCACTTTTTGGCAACTTCGGGGGTCTCCGGCCTAAACCCTAAACCCTCAAGACCTTAAACCCGATCTCTTCCTGTCCACACATCCTAAAACTAAGCCCCCTGAGCTTTCCAGAGCCCCCGAGCCCAACCCCCCGATGGGTAGGTTTAAGGTTTAGGGTTTGACGGCGTTTTAGGTTTCAGGGTTTAACGGCCTCCCCAATGGGTAGGGTTTCAGGTTTAAGGGTTAACGGCCCCTGAATGGGTAGGGTTTCAGGTTAAAGGAAACCCTAAACCCCAAAACCCTATAGACAGCTGTAGTGGTTTAGTGTTTGGGGCTCAGGGTTTAGGGCCGACAACCTGCGGGTCTCCGGTCGAGTGGCACTTTGTCCAAGTAGGTCCCTATCCTTCCAAGCTGTGCCTCAGTGGCCAAACATGTGCAATGAATCGAGTTTAGGGGGTTTAAAACTATATATTATGTGTGTGTATATATATATATATATATATCTACAGAACTTTCTATTACGGTATTATGTTGTATTAAAATGTATTCTGTAGTTCTGTATCATCTATCTTCAAAAATCTAAGGTGCAGGGTTAAGGGCTCCATGGCCAAACTAACCAAACGACTGACAAGCCCAAAGGATCCAGGCTTTAAGCTGTCAGGATATCGCGTGTAGGGTTATGGGTTTGGGCATCTGGTGACATCCTCCATAATGAGGCCCTCCGAATTAGTTAGGCAAATACGGATAGGCATAATACAGAAGCCTGAATCTGAATAAACAAAATCTGATTACGTGGTGTATCATATCAGAGCAAGATTGGATACTGTAGGAACCTGATTAAGAAACCTTGAGCCTTTCCTACTATTTTGGGTTGTTGGCCCAGGGTTTCTTAGTCAGGTTCCTACGTTACTCATTTCCGAAACCCTGAACGCTTCAGTCGGAGTTGTTTTGGGTCTCAGTGCTGTAGGCGACAGGGATTGAAGGATTAGCGCCCTAGATGCTGCCTCCAAAACGTGCCCTTAGGGCTTAGGTTCAGGGCTTAAGGTCTACATAGGTCTAGGGTCACACACACACACACCATACACCCTGAACCCCAACCCTGAGTCTTATAGCCCTGCACCTGAAACTCTGAACCCTTACCCGACCCCTGCCTCAAGACCCCATCACCGCAAGAACAACACGGAAGCCCCATCCCCTCTCAGCCTTTCCAAACATGAATAACCAACTTTAAAACCGACAACCCCCGCAAAACCTTAAAACACTCCATATAGCTACAAAAGAAAAAGGGAACAACCTATCAAACCCTATAAAAGCCGGAAAATGGTATATTCCACATAAGCAGACCCTTATGAAATACATGAAGCCAAGCAAGACCATGCCTTGACCTTGAACCGCCCACTTGGAGGATCATGGGACTTAGTAACTATGGTTATAAGTACTCTAATTGGCGTTATCAGTACTTACAAGTATAGTCACCCTAATAATAGCCGTAATTACTAAGTCCCATAATCCTTTAAGTATGCCCTGAACCCCAGACGAAGATATAGCTTCCGAGGCGCTTTGCCATCTTGTGATCGAAGGAAAAGGACCATCACCGATCCGTCCTGGGGTCTTTAGTTATTCCGTTTGTCAGAATGCGGGTTTTAAGGGTTTAGGGGTTTAGGGGGTTTAGGGATTGGGGGTTTAGGGGTCTGTATGGGGTCATGGCTCTATCGCAACAGGGCCCATTTGCCCACGGAGCATAAACTTAGGCATCAAGGCAGTCCCGATACAGTTATCTTTGGGCCAAAGTACATACTATATGAGCACATGGACCCTGACTATACGGTCGGTGTACGGGGTTTGGGCCTATGCGTTTAGGGTTTAGGGGCTGATGGGTTTAGAGGTTTTGGGTTTATGGTTTAGGGCTTTGGTCTCAGGGATTACGGGGTATGGGCTTATGGATCTTCTGCAGGAGGTTCGTAGAGGTTCGATATGAATCTTTCTTTGTCCATGCAATAAAAGCTCGTTTCCTCGACGGGCTCAAGGTTTACTTGGAGGGTCCTACCCTGCCCCTTTTCTCAAGGCCGCTAATTGTACGGTTAGCACATGTCATATTGAAAAGTAGGTACCGCGAAAAAGGGCAGGGTATGACCAGTAACCGAGGAATAGCAAGGGCTCCCTTTTTGGAACTGGGTAACTGCATGAGGAGCCTATAGGACTACAACAAGGGAATAAGGGTACTTCTGGGCATCCTAGAGTGGGTAAGGGCATGAAACCCCAAGACAATACCCAACCCTGTATAATCCTAAGCCCGTCCTATACCCTGAACCCTAAGCCCCGCAAGCCGCAAACCTTGCAAATCGTAAACCGCCAGCACAAACTGCGAACCCTGGACCTTGAATCGAAGAGCTCGCAGCCGGCATCCTGCATTATGCAGCCTGGTCACCCAAAGGTCAGGACGCGTAGTGTTCAGTTTGACCTGACACTCTGCGGGTTCAAGCATGGAGAGATTTCAAAATTCCTTCCCTAAGCAGGACACTTCAGCTTAGAATAAGAGCCAACCTGAGTTAACCCTCAACACTCGATGAAAAAAAGCTCTAGGTAGATTCCTCCATTACACGGTGTTGGAGCATCTGGGTGTCTGTATATGTTAGGTTTTCTTGAGCATACTGTAGAAGACGGCCCTTAGCCTATGTTCTGGCTGCTAATACGGTATCTCGATGTGGCTCATGTAATGCAAGGTTTTCCTAAGAGATCCACATGATGGCACGCAACCTGTACACTAACGAAGTCTTGAAACTCACCCTCAATCCGCTCACGAAACCCTTCATACAAACCCTGCATCGTGTGGGGGACTCACGACTCACTGCCCTTTGGCGCTGCCGACTCTAGAAGCTTCCCAAATTGAGGCTACTGATGTAACTACTCATTATTTCAGACGACCCAGGACTATTCGGATGCCTATCTTACGGTTCCGGGGGGCTTCTCTATAAGGCCTGAGGTGTCTCTGGCAGTGGCATGAATGCTCCTGGAATGCAAGCTATTGAAGTCTCTTGAAAATTTGCTACATAAACATAGCATTCAAACATTATCCCCTAAACGCTGTGAACAAAACTGAGGAACACTTAGCAAACAAACTGGCAAACTTATATCGAACCTTATGATGATAACATAAAAAATATTTTCTTCCTGCGAATTGAACACCAGACTCTGAAGTTGTAAACTAATAAGGAATCTTAGTCTTAGCAAGAACATGACAACATACAACATCATAAAGCCCTCCGGGCTAAAAACAACACTTTCGAACCGTAAACCCTAAAACCTAAACCCCTAAACCTTAAACCCTAACCACTCTCGGGTGGAAGCGGCCTCGGGGAGAGCTCTGCGTAGAACGCGCCTGGCAGAACGCCGGCATGCGGTGCCTCGAGCAAGGATCAGGTCTGCCTAGAGGATCCTGCAAGGGTCCAGCCCTAATCCAAAGGGTCCTGTGTACTGTTGTGGGGAATACTTCCCCAAATCATAATCGTGATTCCCGACATAAAAACCCTACATTGTACTATATAGGTACTTTGGAACCTTGGGGTAGGGGATCCTGGGAGGGTCCAGCCCTACGGCTCCATGTATCCATATAGTATATACTCAGACCTTAAAGGGGTCCCTATGTACGTACTTTAGGGTCAAGGTGTAGACCACCTGGGCACACGGAGCCTTAGGCTAGGTAAGGAATCAAATCAGAAGGTTGAAATCGGCGTTGATGTCCCAATACCAATCGGCAAAGGCCCAAGCCCCAAGTCATGTAGGGTTTGGGGTCATATGCACAGGAACCTGATTAAGAACACCTGGTTTTTATCAGGGTTATAGGGCCAGGATTTCTTAAGCAGGTTCCGACATCAGTAAGTGTGGAGCTCAGTACCTATAAGTATAGTTCCTCTAATAACCCTGGTTGCTAAGTCCCATGGTCCGTAAGTTGGCTTAAGCAACCATGCATGGGCATTGAAGGGCTTTTTGGGGGGTTCAGGCTTTAGGCGGTTTCTTTGGGGTTTAGGGCTTTCTGGCTTTAGGTGGTGTCTTTTCATTTGGGTTTTGGATTTCGGGTTTACTATTCACCTTAGTATCTACCAGAACCTGCTGAACGGCAAGATATTGAATTGATAGGGATCCGACAGAACGGTAGGTTTTAGTAGACTGAGGTAGGCTTAAGATCCGCTTGTGTGCGGACAATGTTATGTATAGGGCTGAATAATTTGAACAGGATTTGTCTTTTGAGACGGGGCGTCTATGCCACAGCTTTATCAAGGAACAATAAGGCATATAGTCTATAGTCTTGCTACTGATCTCAGGCCCCAAATTCGGACTTTTGGAGGTCTCATTTGCTATAGACTGTTAAGCTTCCTGGTGTAAGGGATTAAAACTTCCTTGGAGGATCATGGGACTTAGTAAGTAGGGTTTGGGGTTCCTTTTAAGGGTACTGTACTGTAGGGCTCTATAATAGGGTTCCTTAAAGGGATCTATACGGGTTCTGAAATGGGGATCATGGGACTTATTAAGTATGGTTACAAGTACCTCAATTGGGGTTAGTAGTAAGCATAAGTATAGTTACCCTCATAATAACCCTAATTACTAAGTCCCATGATCCTTTGAGTGAGCCAGGGTGGACCCAAACCTTGAAAGTAAAGTTTGCGCTTTTGTCCCAATGCACATGCCAACGATAGGCTGGTACATCAAGATGCATGTGGCTGCCATAGGTCTGTGGGTTTAGGGTTTAAAGGTTTAGAACTGATATAGCGCAGTCCATTCACGAACAGAAACATCGAAGTAGGGTGAACAAGACCAATCCCGGAACCTTTACAAAGTCAATCGTCGCTGACATTGGGCAGTTCAGAATTCTTGCATCGATCTTGCATAGCGGCGTTCGACTTGCTCACCAAAACCCCCACCCCCATCGCCCCAAACCCTAAACCCTAAACCCCCTCAACCCTAAACTCCCAACGAGCCACCTGCCGCACATGCCAAGGCCAGTCCAGGACGAGATCCCGACAACAATGGCCGAGAGGCCGTCGCGGCGGTAGCCTGGGCACTTTCATGCACGTGCCTAAATAATTACAAATACTATTGCGGGGTTCCTTATTGTAGTTATAGTATAATGGGTCCCAAAACCCTATTCTAATCATAAAGGACCCTATATAAAGCTTCAGTTCAACATAGGAACCTGGTTAAGAAACCTTGGGTCTTTATTATTAGGGTTGCTTATATGAATCCTAACATACTGGGCATAGAGGGTCAGGGTCCTCCATTAGGCTTTACGGCCCCTGTCGCCCCAGACCCTGCAAAACAGACCAGGAAACACCCCCAATGCATAGCTGAACCCAACAACCTGCGGACGCAACACCCTGAAACTATTAAACCTGTTTGCTGGGGGGGCTTCATAAGTAGAATAGCGTTTCGGAGTAGTTTACAAAAGTTGATGAGTAGTTTAAACTGCTGCACAAGCCCAGTGATACGGTCCTGCACCCTGAACATGTCAGCTCAGTAGGGTCTTAAGGTTCAGGTATTAAGGTATTAGGTGCATAAGCCGGACGGCCCATATGCTCGACCATGATTGCGTAAGGTCCTGAGAACCATAATACATGAAAATGGTGGTTTGGCACCCAATGTCCACATGTATGTATGTATATATATATATACTATTATATATATATATAGCACACGAACTTTCCGGGGAACTGTAGTCTTAGTATGCTAGCCGCGAGCACTTTCCCCTAGACCTTGAACCTTGCTAGGTTGCTTCTGTCACGGCGAACACCGGAACGCAGGGTGAAACTAGGTCTCAGCACATGCCGGCCTAGGTGTTGCTACGTTTGTGCTCCCATGTTTATATCTAGGAGGCTGGCAATCATCCTATTTATAATTGGGTTGAGATGTACTTACTGATTTGTGGGATTTCGGGGGGGATAATAATTTGTAGGTCTGTTGGCTGGTCCTCACATCTAGGAGTCTCCGCATCAGAGCCCGAGGTGAGCCATGACAAGGGGCGCGTACTAGGTTTAACTTACACCAAAAACAAATAAGTCCTTAAAGCCTATACAGATCCTAAACCCAAATCTCTTCAACCCCAGTTGACCCGCAGGGTGCGCGGCTCGGGCCGTCACTGGTGCCGGCCGAGGCTGAATACTTGCCTGCTCAAGGGGATGGAGCTCAGTTTCGGGTCTGGCACATCGGAACGTGATGATGGTGGCCGAAAAGGTATCCTAACTGGGAATACCCGACTTAGCATCGTACCTGTCACATACGTACGAGTATTATGTCTGTTGCTCCTTCCGGGCGGCTTCAGATCCTCGTGTCCCTAGGTTCCTGAGTAGCCCCCTAGCAATGACAAGGGTACCCTGTTTCCTACTGTTCAGCTTGAACAGGGAGAACTCAACGTAAAAAGGGCAAAAGGGTGCCCGGTTAGGATGCAGCAATCCTGAGCCCTAAACCCGAAACCATAACTGTCGGGTTCTTAGTAGGGAAATGGGGGAATGGATCTCTATGATAGTCTGTTAAGGGTCCCGTATAGTAGTCCCTATAACCCATTGCCCCCATGCCCTACTAAGAACCAAACCGATAAACCAACCCTACTTGGAGGGGCAGGGGACTTAATAATAAGTAGGGTTATAATAAGTGGGGTTATAATTGGGGTAACTCCATTTAGGGTACTTAAAACTCTACTTATAACCATACTTGCTAAGTCCCCTGCCCTCCAGGAGCCTTTGGGCAGGGCTTACCTGAACCCCAAAAACAGTAACCTACCCTTTTAAGGACTTAGATAAAGAAATCATTTTAGGGAACCCTCAAAGGTAGGTTCCTTACGGTCCAGGTAGGGTCTAAGTTTAAGTTGAATAAATGCGGAGCCCACTGGGTCTCTGCCGCGACCGCCTGCGCTGCCAGCGGCCCGCCCCAGGCCGAGGCTAGAAGCGCCTCTGGGTACCCAGAGAGCCCAAGACCCCTTAATGAAGGAATATGCCTAGGGTTCCTTCAAAGGGATCTATAGGGTTTAGGGATTCAACTACCCCTTAAAACAAGGAATATGGCTTATATTATATAGGGCTTCATATTATGATTTAAGCTATATTCCTTTTTTAAGGGGTATTGGGCTCTCTGGGTATCATACGGATTGGGCTTATGCTAGGGTGTAGGATGCTTAGGGCTTATAGAAGCTTAACTCTATGGGAGTTTCAGGTTCAGATGTTAGGGTTTAGGGTTTAGGGTTTAGGGTTAGGATGTACGGGTTTAGGGGATTAAGGGTTTGGGGGGGTGCTATGGGTCGGTCATTCGGGAAGTGCGCTTGCGTTTTTCATCGGGTTCTTATATATTCTATGCCAGGATTTCGTGTGTGAGCTTTGGGATCCAGTGGATTCAAGCAGAAGCCTTGGGCTTGCTAAGGAATATTTGTAATCTTGCCTGGCCACCGCCTGTAGAACCCAGCAGGAAGATGTTTGATCTGGGGCTTCGTGCATGTGGGTGGTTTTCAACATTAGTCCCTCTTTGGATCCTTATTGTAGTACGGCACCTAATATTTAGGGTACCCAGAAAGGGACCCTAATTTTGACAACCACCCATGTAGGGTTTAGGGTTTAGGCATACCCATGTACATCCTTGCATAACACGCACATACACGTGCTCATATACAGACACACGACTTACTCTTAAGTGTCTAGCTGCTTAGTTGATATAATGTACTTAGCGTAGTTGGGTCACTATCGTATATTATTATGCAGCCCTTAGGAAGAGGACTTGGTGATTATTCAGTCTTTTGTGTAGTGGTGCGAGCTTGCGATTGTATGCTTGGGCTGTGGCTGTTGGCCAGTGAGTTTAACACGGGCTCAGCGTTTATCATCTGGAATGCCCTGCCCAGAACCCCTCTTCCTCCAATCTACACCCTCGACTGAAATCCCAGGCCCTAAACCTCAAGTTACACCTGAACGCTCCGGCTCGTAACCAGTGCTTGAACGGTACATAGTGACATAGGGCGGGAAACCGTCTCCCTTGATTATCCATGATCTCTTTAACGCACAGGAAGCTACAAACAACTGTGCGAACACATGTACATCTAACTACTCGTTACACACATGTGGGTGGTTGTCAAAATTAAGATCCCTTGTTGGATACCCTAAAACATAGGTGCCGTACTATATTAGGGAATCAAAAGGGGCCATGATGTTGACAACCACCCAGGTATACAGCACACAAAATGTATGTGTGTACGTGCGTGTGGCCTTCAACCTCAGCCCTACCCTGAGTCCAAAACTACACCTCCAACCCCTAAACCCTTCCTAAACCCAAACTATCGGTGATGAATGTCTCTGATAAGGCTTCCACTTTCCCTAGGGATCAAAAAGCCCAAAAGCCTTATAGAATATCGTCTTTGGGCCCAAACGCCTTCATATATGAGTCCTTAGATTGCTGGGGTATAGGCGCGACTTTGCGGCTTTTAGGGCCAAGGATGATGGGGGCTCCGGTTTAGGGATTGATTTCAAGGCTTGGGGATTTTGACGTAGACACCCTGTATGCAGTCTAACTCTCCGCAAAACCCGGAGAAAGAGAGAGAGAGAGAGACAGAGAAAAAGAGAGAGAGAGAGAGAGAACAAAACAAATCAAGCACAGCCCCATCTACCCAAAACCGTACCCCGCAAGTCCCTGAAGCCACCTAAACTCCTCTCAATCAAAGCAAGCATCCCCAAGTGCCCACTCCCTCGAATGGTAGGATTTAGGGTGCTGCTTCACCTAAAACCTCAATCCACGACAGTATCTTAATGGAGACCACTGGCTCCAGTGACCTATACTGAGGGGGTATATTCTTATTGTCTCTCATAAGCGTAGGTTTTGGGCCTATAGGGAAGCCCTTAGCCCTGAATCGTAAATGAATGTTGGGCCTGAGTATTGCGACTTGGGCTTGATCATGAACGCCGTGCAAAACCCGCGAACCAAGGGTGCGCCTTTTGGCTCTAAGCAGAGTGTACGTCTTGGTGTCTCTGTGCTGGAACGTTAAACCTTGTGGAAACTCTGCTCTGGGTAAGCATTCCTGATGCGTTCCAACAACGAGCCTGGAGAACTAGATCCGCATAAACGGAATCTCATCATGTGCCATATGATTTTCCTCACTGCGCCAGGACAGAACAGGGTGGGCTCATAGATGGCCCGGTCTCATGATCCGTCGGCGGATACAGCATCAGGTGTGGCTGAGCCCAAGGCGGTCGTGCCGTACATGACTCATGACCCCGACTTTCTGCTCACGTCACTCAAGCCCAAACCTTGAACCCTAAACCCTTACCAACAAACCTTAGCAGGATACTCCAAAAGATCCTTAAATGAACCCATAAAAGAAACCATGAAAACGAATCCTTACAGGAACCCTACCATAAATAATTCAATTTTACCCTCGAAAAGAACACTCTGCATGGCATCCTAAAACCCTAGGGCCCTAGGGATCACAGTAGCCCAAAAGCCTTATATAGTATCGTCTTTGGGCCCAAACGCCTTAATACATGAGTCCTTAGATCCCTAATCCCTATAGATCCCTTTAAAGGATCCCTTATAGATCCCTTTAAAGGAACCCTATATGCGTCCTTAGATCCCTAGGGAAAAGGACCCTTATTGGGACCCCGAAGCCGCTGAGGAGCCGGCCATTGCAAGATCAGAACACGGCTGCACAGCCGCGGACGAGAGAGCCGAGAAGCTGATGATAATCGTAGGGGTGTAGGGCGCAGTTCCTTTATGCAAGCATTCAGGATTTAGGGCGTAAGGTTTGGGGGTTTGGGGTGTGGGGTTCCGTTAAGGGCTTTGAGGCTTAGGCTCAGGTTTTTTGAGACTGAGGGTTCTTTTTATGGCTTGTGATTTTCAAAAAATGTGGGGTGGTGGGTTCCTTGAATGGTTTCAGGGTTTCTTGCAGGGTTCCTAATAAAGTTGGTTTAAGGTCGAGGATTTAGTGCTCAAGACTCCACCTCAGGTATTGCTCTGGGGCTTAGGGTCTGGGCCTTACTTATGATTCCATGTAGAGTTCTTTGACGGATTTAAGGGTTCTCTGCGGCAGGGTTTAGGGCTCGGTTCGGGGTCAACCCTAAGCCCTGGCTTAGACAGGCTCGGAGTGTAACAATCCATGCTTAGGGTGGCATTATGCTCAAAGAAAACATATCCCTAAATCCCTGACCCGACATCCCATAAACCCGAAACACCGTGGTACTATGGGGGCCCTAATAGTCGGAATAGGGTTTGGGGAATATTATGCTATAATATTACAATTATAACTACTAACACGGAGCCACCAAAACCCTGTCCTAATTGTTAAGGTGTTACATCGAAACCCTGGTCAAGGCGCGGTGAAAAGGGCGATCCGAGAATCTGGCCCAACCCCGTGGCGATGCCAGGATACACCTCGTCATCTCTCACGACACTCCCCTGCGGCTCCTAAGAGGGCAACTAGGGTTCCTTAAACGGGGATCTATAAGAGGGGTTTTAGGGTCTACTTAAAGGATCATGGGACCTAGTAACTACCCTAAGGCTCCTAGGAGGGTTAGGGGCTTTCTGAAGGAGGATTTGGGCTTTGGGGGCTAAGGTCTGGGATTTCACTACGAGGGTCCAGGTGCCTAAGGGCAAAACATTTTAATCAAGGAAAGTCCTTTCAAGTATAATAGGAACTCGAATGTGGTTTAAGGTGTTTACTTCCCCAATAAGCCACTTGAACAAAAAGTGAAACTGTCCGATTACTACGACCTATGAGAACCCAAAAAGTTCTAAGGCTGGTTATTGGGGAACAAAGCTTTACCTTGAGGACGAAATGACCCTTAAAAGTAGGGGCCCTATACCCATATACTATGAATCCCTATATGGTATATGAACCTTAAACCCTTTTAGGGTTCATGTCGTCCTTAAGGTAGTAGGTGCTTTCGACATCCCAGAGCTTTGGCCGGCGGCCAAGCGGATGAGAAGAAGGGCACAACGAAGAAGGAGGCCTCTGACGCAGGGGACTTCGGAAGGTTAGAGGGTTTTGGGTTTAGGGTTTAGGGTTTAAGGGTCTTGGGGATTAAGGTTTAGGGGATTAGGGTTCGAGGCTGAAGGCTTTCAGGGTTTAGGGTTTAAAGGTTAAGGGCTCAGGGTTTAGGGGTTTAGGGTTTAGGGTTTAGGGGTTTAGGGTTTAGGGTTTAGGGTTCAGGATTTAGGCAGATTTCCGTAGAGCTTTGAACAGGGACATGAAGAAGCACCTAAACAACAACAGTAAGGTTCTGCCAGAGACCTTCGTGAAGGCACAGCCTCCTAATTGAAGTAGGCAGCACAGATGCTCCTTGTTATTCAAAGCAACAAGGTATCGTTCTCCCACCCCATATTTTACGTTTGGCGGCTGTCTTGGTTCCTCATTGAAGGTTTCTATGTCGCCGTTGAGGGTTCCTTCAAGGGTTCCTATTTCGTAAGGGTTCCGTACAAGTACAGTGCAGGTATTAGGGATCGGTGTTGCCGGGGTTTTGGGGTTCAGGCATATTAGGTTTGGCTTCGGGGTTGGGGGTTGCTGGGCACTGTGACATCTTGGTCAAGGAACTTCACATTCACGAGCTGTCGTGTCATAAGCTCAGGATTTAGGCTTGTAGGGTTGCATCGGGAATTCGGGCGTTCTGATCGGTCTATATGGCGTTGCATGCTGCGCTGTACCAGCAATTTGCTACAAGTCCTTTTCTGTGCGTGCAGCACCCTCAGGGTCCGAGTACCTAATAATCATATACTCTCCCATATGGTAACCTACATAACTACTATCCGAAACCTCGGGACCTAATTATTGGGTCCTTTGGAACCTTAGGGGAAGGGCCAAATCCTAGTCTCACTGTTGCGACCTTCCCAGGAACCAAACCCGAAACCCTGAAGGTCTGAATATGTGTATGAAGCGAACAGCTCACAGCTGAATAACTCAAAGTTCTATGTATGTATAAATGCTCATGCAGGTATGCATGTGTGGATGTGTGCACGAAAACATACAAATGCATCCATCCACCCAGCCACCCATCCAGACAGACAGGGAGACAGCAGAGGCAGGCAGGCAGACCGGCAGACATGTATGGACCCTTCGTGTTTCTTGGGCCAGTTCTGTGCAACACCCAAACTGCCCCAACAAGTAGTAGACTACATGAGCGCATCTTCGTAAAGGCAATCCTCAACCCTAAACTCTACATCCGGAATAAAGTACCCCCAAGGTTTCGGAAACTCTAAACCCCCTATAGAGCCCTTTTAACGGAACCCTTATATAGCACTCTTATAGTAACCCTTTAAAGGAACCCTAAGGTACCCTTTAAAGGAACCTCCGTGGGGTCTTTCACGATGACCTCATCGGGGGCCGACAGCAACTTGGCAAGGATGGTTGCCTGTGACGATCCGAGAATCGCGGTGTTTAATGAGCCCTAAGGGTCCATGCACCCCAGTAGTATACACGTTGGCCCCAATGCACCTATATAGGGACTACTTTAAGGCCAAAGTATATACTATTTGGGTACATGGACCCTTATATGTCCTAAATATCGCTAAAACCTTTTGGTACCCTTGGGGTACATGGACCTTAATCGGGCCCCCACAAAGCACATAAGCAAAAGTTAGGACAGGGATATCCCATATAAACCCCCTTATAATGAAGCCCAATAAGGTAGGGATATCCCTATAAGATGCCTATGCTTGTGTGCTTTGGGGGTCCCTAGCTTAAGGGAGTGCTGCCTGAATCAATACGGACCGAGCTCTAGGCTCCACCAAAGATCTGAAATCCCATGTTTAAGGAGTACAGTAAGGCCCATGAAGGGTATCTTAGGGTTCGTTTAAAGGGTAGCCTTTAAGGGTTCCTTGAAGGGATCTAGAATCTATAAGGGTTCTATAAAGGGTTTAGGGTTTACTGTACAGTAGACCCCAGAAAGTTGGAAACCGGGTTAAGGCCAAATAGTGCTGGGGTTCCCTATACATTGCTCTTAAGGATTGAGGCTATGGGGTTTCCAAGTTTTGGGCTTCTACTGTAGTAGAGTTTAGGGTTTAAGGATTTACGATGCATTATCAGTCCAAGCCGTCCGACCTAACCGATGAGAAATCTGCAATTTCCGGCTTTTTAGATTTTGACTTACGCAAATTCTGGTTTAGGGTGTAAGGATACAGAGTTTTCGGGTGTATAGAGTTTGGCTTCGGCAACTGTCCGTGACAGTAACAGCTACCGCCAAGAAGCGGTGCATACAGCTACCGTAAGGGAAGGAGCCTTGGAGGACTGACTGTAACGCTCCCTAGTTTCATAAGGGTCCAAGTACCCAAATAGTAGGGTTTCAAGGTCCAAAAACCATTCAGAGTATGGATTTTGGGACTTAGAACCCCACTATTGGGGTACTTGGGCCCTCTGGGGATGGCATGCTGTTCATAGATATCCACTGGCGTGGGAATCCCTGGCTGCCACGAATCCGATCAGAGGCTACCTATGGCCCAAACCACGAAGACCCCTAAATCCTAACCCCAAGGCCCTAGACCCGCAGCTCTACATCCTGGACCCTAGCCGGGTGACATGACTCCTTTGTTCCGGGTTCTTATAGGTTGTAGTAGTCGGAGAGCTTAGTTTAACCTTTTTTCAGTGGCTTATTGGGGAAGTGCGCCGTTGTACGGCACAAAGCCCCCCGGCAATCGACGGGGGCTAGGGCTACATGGTCTGAGGCGATTTTCATGGGTTTTATGAGGGTTTAGGGTTTTTCAAAAGTCTATAGTGCTCAAGAAGGCTTAGGGTTTTCTGAAAATCTCAGAGGATCTTATGACGCTTTGGTGATTTGTATTAAAGGATCTAGGGCTTGCGGCTTGAATGCACGGAAAGACTGGCCTCAGCAGCGAAAACACGCATGCCGCCGAACATGCCCCTGGGCTCCAAGCATGGGTTTACAAGGCCTAGTTTAGGGTTTAGGGTTTGGAAAATTTGGTGCGCGAACAGCTGCCGACCTCCCCTAGAAAGCCCAAGACCCTCTTAGGAGCCTTAGGGTAGAAACCCATTATGCTAGGTAGCTGGGTGCGGCCCGAGGCCTAGGGGCCGTAAACATACGGGTAGTTGTCAAAATTATGGCACCTTTTTGGGGGTACCCTACATATTGGATAAGGACCCAAAAACGACCATAATGTTGACAACCACCCATATAAGTTCCAAACCCAAACCCGCTTTGATTGCGTGCTGCTAGGTTCGAATGTTGTGTTCGACTACGCGGGCACTGAAGATCGAGTCAAAGCAATCGTCAAGAAGATGCTCTTAGATCCCATATATACTTGGAGGGAAATGGGAATTAGTAAGTAGGATGATGATAAGTACCTTAATCGGGATAATAAGTAAATTATAAGTATAGCTACAAGGACAAATGCCAAAGTATACGAACCCTTGCGAGCTTCCGAAAAAAGGAGACTCTAATACAGTACCCTAAACAACAGGATCCTTATTAGAAGTACCCCAAATAAGGTACCCCCCGTAATTTTCGGAAACTCCCATGTACGAATCCTTATCTGATGGAGATTGAAGGACTTGGTGCCTCGAGGCAGCTTCCCGACGAGCTTTTGGGGCTTCGGAAGCTTAGGGCATCGGGTTTACCTTAACGCGGACCTTTTTAAGGACTTATATAAGGAAATCATAATAATAGGAACCCTGACAAGGTAGGTTATTCAGGGTTAGGGTAGGGCTTAAGGTCGTTTTGAAGGGGTAACTTGAGGTATAGTTTTGTCCCAGGGACTCTAAGAGGACATTGCTAGTAGATGCTTCTACTTCTTCCGGCCTCTGGGGGAAACCAATGAATCGAGGCCAATCGGCTCTCCTAACCTTTTGATCTTGGGTACGGCTACATGTACTGACATTATAAATAATGCCCAACTGTTATACAGAGTGGGTGCAGTACCCAAGTCTGACCCATGAACAAAACAGCAACGCGACCCTTATCTGCGCAAACAAATCATGACCTGGTATGAGATTGCCTTCAGGGTATGCCTTAACCCAATAGAAACCTGCCTTTTGAAAGACTTATATAACAAGAAGAACATGAAAACAAGGATCCCAAACAGGTAAGTTTTATAGATTCCAGGTAAGGCGGCTACAAATCAATACGGCCCCGGTACTTGGAGGACCGTGGGACTGAGTAAATCAACTGTGGGGTTCTACGTACTGATACGTATGGATACCCGAATATTAACACGGTAGTTACTAAGTCTCATAACCCTAAGGGTCCATGTACCCAAATAGTATATACTTTGGGCCGAATGTATCTATATAGGGAGTCCTTTAGGCCCAAAGTATATACTATTTGGGTACATGGACCCTTAGGGTGACCCTTTAAGTAACCCTCGGGCTCCTGGAAGCTAAACTCCAAACCCTAGGAAACGGGCTAAACAGCCAAAGAAGCAAGTCCCGAACTGGAACCTCCGAATGCTCCCTGGGCCCTACAGTTGAAGCCAGAAAGTTGGAACATCATTATCCTCATGCCCTCAAGGTAAAGTATAAGGGATCCTAGCACTAATCCTCCTAAAGCCATGTTCCAACTTTCTGGCTTCTACTATAAATCCCCTAAACCCTAAACCCTGCCTAAACCCTAAACCCTCCAGATCCCTTTACTTTAAAGGACCCCTTATAGATTCCTTTAAAGGACCCCTTATACATCCCTTATCTTCTACTATCCACCGTTGGACCGGGGATCCGACGTCCCGTGCATTTCATTGCACGGAGAAAGGCCATAGTCGCATGTGGAGGGTTGTGCCGCCGACTGACGGAGAAAGGGATTGCTTAGGGTTGAGGGTTTAGGGGTTTCGGGTTCAGGGTTTACGGTTGGGGGTTTAGGGTTGATCTAGGGCTCTAGGGGATTAGGGTTTAGGGGTTTCGGCTTGGGGGTGGAGGGCCTCGGCTTGGGATGGTTCAGCCTTGCCCAAAGGCTCCATGTACCATTATGCTAGAGACTTAAGCCCTAAAGGGGTCCCTATATAGGCACTCTAAGGCTTAAGTATATATTATATGGGTACCCAGAGAGCCCAATATACCGCTTGTTTAAGGAATATGGCTTAAATCATAAAATGAAGCCCTATATAGTTTAAGCTATATTCCTTAATTAAGGGTATTGGGCTCCCTGGGGTTGGGGGGGGGGAGCTTTTGGATTTCGCGCCGCCATTGCTGAGGCATAGAGGCTTTCCCGGAGAGCCCAATACCACTTCATTACTTTTAAGGAATATGCCTAGGGTTCCTTTAAGGGATCTATGGGGTTTAGGGTTGAGGGGATTCAAATACCCCTTACTTAAGGAATACAACATGGCTGAAATTATAAAGGGCTTCCATATTATGATGTAAGCTATACTCCTCAATTGAGGGGTATTGGGCTCTATTAGTTTGTCATGACAAAGTCCTCGTAAGTCGGAAGGTAGCGAGGGCTGTATATGTCTTACTTCACCCAACAAGCCAAAGAAATCAAAGGTCGTACTATTAGAACTACGAAAACCCGAAAACATGAAAGCTTGGGCATTGGTGGAGTATGGGGTTGAGCCCGGCGATGGTACAATCGGTTTTCGACGTAGCTGCCATAACGTCCCAGTGGTTGCATCCGGAACCTTGATGAAACTGGTGGAGCAAGGAGACCACCTTGCTGAACCGTGTGTGGTGTTGCTGTCTCAACTGTTGTCGCACTCAGGGACGCCTGCCCCTGGGGGTAATTCTCATGCAGCATCTCGCCAAGACGCAATGCAGAATCTTCACCTTTCGGAGACCGCGATTCACTGCGTCGCTCACGGTGCAGTTGTGTGGTGAATTGGGCTTTAGGCCTACAGCTTTTTGGCAATCAGGGCTTGCGGGCTCGAGGTTTCAGGGATTAGGGTGTATAGGGCTTAGGGCGGCGATTGGGCATCTGCAGTTTCGGAGCCGTATTGTGTAGTTCTGCGGAGGAGGACGATGCTCGAGCTGTCACGTAAGTACCCGCAGACAGAGCCCAGTACCCCTTAACTAAGGAATATGGCTTAAATCATCCTTTGAAGCCCTATATAATTTAAGCCATATTCCTTAATTAAGGGGTATTGGGCTCTCCGGGTAAGGCATGTTCAGGGCTTCAGCATTCTCTCTCTGGCTCGGGTCGAAGAAATACCGCTGAAGCTGTTGCAGGGATGAGGCTTCGGCTCAGGGAGGGAGAAGTGTAGGGCTGACGGTTTAGGGTTTAGGGGTGTAGGGTTTAGGGCTGACAGTTTCGGGTTTAGGGGCTTAGAGTCTTGTTTGTAGGCCGTTGAAGGATAGGGTACAGCTCTCTACAAATCGCAAAAAGCCAAAATGCAAGAGCCCAAAACACATACAAACACACACACACACACACATCGCATCCAGGCCGTGTTTGAACCCAAATACAACTTCCTTGAGTAGGGCCTAGGGCCTTTGGGGGTTCATGAAGTAATTTAAAGTTCTATTCTGGACCCTTATCCGCGGCCACCTCAAATAGAGGACTTGTGGACTGGACCTGGGTGTTGCAGTTTACTATACCGTGGGAAGGACCCTTATCAAGGTTCCTTCGGGCACCGAAATCTCCCTACGTCCTAGACCCCATATCAACTTTCAAGCGGCTTGTGATGACCCCCCAGCCCTTTCAACAAGAACCAACCAGGTCGGCCTGAATGCTTAGGCTTCCTATCAGGATTCTTGGGTTAGGGTTTAGGGGTTTGGCGTTCTTGCACGGTTTTCTTTCATTTTTGTGCAGCCTAGAGTCTAGGGGCCACAAGGGGGCAACTAATATTCAGCATACTTGTATGAGCAAAAGCACTGAACAATCCCGAGCCCTGTTCAACCCCTATGGTCTACAGCTGGAGTTGACCTCACCCTAAGCATCACTTCGGCCAACAAGCCTTCAATAAGCCACAGAAACAACAGGTTACACTTTTCCGAGTACTACTCTTGGGGACCTATTGTTAAAACACCAGACCCAGAGGGTCCAAGTACTCCCTATCACAGGACTTTAGGGCCTTATTAGGTATCACAAACCATAAATACGGTTGATGATATAAATCTTGCATTACCCATACTACGGAATATACCATAATTCCCATAGTTTAGGGTCCTTAATGTAATGCAGGATTTATATCATCAACCGTAGGGACTACTTGGACCCTTACTGTAGACCCTTCAGTATGTACCCTTGCACTTGGCCTCACGGATCCGCCCATGCAGCTGCACCTTTGGACACCCGAAAGAGAAAATTTCGCACTCAGAGTCAAGGTTCAGGGATCGTAATTGCAGGTTCATGGGTAGTCTAGGAGGTGCTTTGAAAGCCTTTGAAAAATATTAGTAGGTAAGATCCCCTTAAGCCCAATAAGAGCAAATCGAAAATGTCCCAAAGCCCTATCTAGTAGTTATAAATGGGGTTATAAGCCCCCTAATATGGGTTATAAGTCCAGTTACCCTACTTATAACCCTACTTATAACTACCATGAACCTCCAAGTAGGGTTCAGGGTTAAGTGAAGGGTTTAGGAAAACAACTGTTGCCCATGACACTTGTATATTACACTCATACGATTGCACTTGGGGCACATTTGACGGAAACTTTTGTGAGGACACGTTACTTGGAGGATCATGGGACTTAGTAACTAGATTATTGTTTAGGTACCTGTAATTATAATTACATATAACCCCAATTAGGGTACCTATAACCATACTTACTAAGTCCCATGATCCTCCAAGCATGCGGGTATACGAATATGTAGTGATTCTTCAGAGCGCCCCTTACACCGCAACCCTGACACAAGCCCGACTTTGTGAAAAACCTCCGGACCACTATAAACCCTAAGCCCTAATTAAAACCCAAACCCCTAAACCCTAAACCCCAAAACCTAAACCCCTAAACCCAAAACCCCTAAACCCCTATACCCTAAGCGCAAAAAGCCCCACAGCCGCAGCCAAGGTTCCAAGATCTCTCGGTTGGCAGCACCAGGCAAGTCATAGATCTGGGCGCGACTTGCGGGTCCACGGTCTTACAGCCGAAGCCAAAAAGTTGGAAACCCAATAGCATCAATCCTTAAGAGTAATGTATAAGGAATACCAGCACTATTTGGCCTTAATCCGGTTTCCAACTTTATGGGGTTTAGTCTTAATAGGGCCCCCCCAAAACCTACTTGTCGGGTATCATGGGGAACTAAAGGTTAGCCTTTTTGGTTATATAGGGATCATATAGGGACTACACTACCCAAAAAAGGTTAAAGGTTACCTACTCTACTACTAGGACAAGCACATAAGAAAAACACCATAGGAGAGGGACGTCCCATATATGAACCCCTTGAAATGCCCATGCTTATATGTCCTTTTGGGGGCCCTGACTGAAGTTGCGGCTTAGGTTTCGGGCGAAGACTGTAAGCGTCCAACGGCTGAAGGGCTTGGGCCGGGGCTTTGGGCTTTATGGTGCCTTTGGATTTCGTGTTGAGGTTTTCGTCCGCAAGTAACCCTAAACCCTGAATACTCTAGACCCCGGGAGGATCTAGCAAGTAGATCCCCTAATTTCGGGCAGATAACTACTAAGGTTCTTTATGTCTAGGAACCCCCATTAAGGGATCTACTTTTTGGATCCTCCCAGGGTCTGGGACAGGACTCCCACTGTCGTTTTGGACAACTTCCTCAATGGAGCCGAATTTGGAGTCGAAGGCTGTTCCGCTGCCTAGGGAATCTCTTTACCTGCTTTGGGGCTCTTGGGTTTGGGGAGGTTTTTGATGGTCCCTATAAGCCCTAAACCATAAACCCCAAACCGTGATTTTAGGGTTTTCGGTTTGCCGCAACAGAGGATCCTGTGGGATCTTCCGACGATCGGCGCATGCACGATGTGCCAAGGAACAGAATACTTAGGGTACCCGTTTTCCTGCTGTTGGATTTTGGTAAGGGAACCTGGAAGGAAAAGGGCAAAAGAGCACTACTAGGGAACCTTGACAAAGCTTACGTCAAGATCCCGTATGACCAGATCTCAAGCTAGGGCTTGGTGTTCCACGGTGGGCCTCGGGTGTAGTTTGGTTCTGATGCTTGGCAAGCTTTATAGCGGTGTGTAGGGTCTTATAGGGGTTTACAGTGTTGCATAAGGGTTCTTGGGTTACAGGACTACCCAGAAGGTGAGAACAGCTTTATCCACGACCTCAACGGGGTGACCACGCTTCTCTATAACCCCCTTCAGAGACTCGAAATACGACATGAAAAGTACCTCCTAGGTCTAGGCTAAGGGCTTCAATTCGGCACACTTACATGCAAATCTGCGGCATGCCTCATCGGACTGCTCACACATGCCCGACAGTATCCATATGATACCGACTAAGTACATTAAAGCCTGTTGCTAGCGCAACAAAAGCCTTTCTCAATATTGGGAAGCGAACAGCACATATCTAAATAATGCCACTTGAACAAACAGCATACTCAGCAACAACATCAACAACAACAGTCACGGCAACCCTGCGCTGCTACTGCTGCTACTACATTTACAAAAACGAGAGAGACGAGGACGAGGACGAGGACGAGGACGAGAATGACGACGACCACTCCTACTAAAGACAATAACATATCAATTGCAACAACTACTCCTACATCGGTATTGCAATCATTAGATTGAACATTACACATCAGAAATCAAGGCCCGCACGTAGAACCTCAGATCACTGCGAGGCCCACGGAAATCATCCGGGTGCACCTGTGAAAAGCAGGCTCCACATGGTGGTCTAACGATCCTCTTGACTGCCTTTGGTTCATTGGTATGTAGGGTTCCTGAATGTGTGGATCTCGGGTAGAGGTGCTACTCCTACGGACAGCTATTACCTATGCCGATAGATGTGTGTGGCTGCTGCAAGGTCTGACTTGCTTTTGGGATGTAGGGTTTGGGTTTTTTGGAATGACCAATGTTGGAGTATATGAGCTAACCGGCCGAAGCCCTAAAGCCTTGCCCTAAACCCCACATAAACATCAAAACGCCCCAAAACTTAACTTTGAATCGTGGATTAGGGGCCTACATTTGGGCGTTGGCGTGAGAGCTTCGGGGCTCAGTTTGGGGTTTAATGAAAACTGGGTATTGCAGTTCAAAAGGCTTTAAGCCGGAAAACGAAATACGAGGATATTTGATAAGGACATCAGGAGGACGGCCAGGAAGGCATCCAACAAAAGCAGTCGCGGCTCCTGTGTAGACTGTGTACGCTGAATTACCAGAAGCCTAGTGGCCTACCTTGTACAGGTAGGCTTGGCTATCAGATATAGACCAGGGGGCTTGGGGAATAGGCTCCCTTTGGCAAGAACCCCGATCTTTTCTCTTCAGCTGTGGTGTGACTGTCCACGGCCCGGCGAAGGCGGCGGAGGTGGTACTGTCAAAACCCCGCCACAAGCCTTAAGGACGATTTGACCCTTAAAAGATCTTAAAAGTAGGGGCACTGTACCCATATACTATGAATCCCTATATCATATAGGGATTCATAGTATATGGGTATAGGGCCCCTACTTTAATATGGTATATGAACCTTAAACCCTTTTAGGGTTCATTTCGTCCTTAAGGCAAGGTGGCTCTGAAGGCGACGGAGGTGGCTCTGAAGGCGACACCTCTCTTCGAGGAGGCTGTGACGGCTCTCCCGGCGCCGAAGTGGCGTGAAAAGCCCGCTGGACATAGCCCAACGGATCGCAGTTGCTCATGTGAGAGCGTTCCTGAAGCTCTCGCTGTCTTTCCACTTCTTGCGAAATGGCCAGTTTCTGCGCTAGGCTCGCCCTTCGGTTGGCAGCAGCCGTTCTCATAGCGAATAAATCGCTCATGCGCTCGGCCATGACCATCATCTGAGGGTCTGTGGTCACGGCTCGTGCATCCATGCACCGTTCCCAAAGAGCCCAATACCCCTTGATTAAGGAATATAGCTTAATTCATAACACGAAGCCCTTTTAATTTAAGCCATGTTCCTTAATTACGGGGTATTGGGCTCTCTGGGTGTGGCCAGAGTCAGTCATTCCTCCAGGAGGTTTTTTCAGAAGCCGAGCACGCAGCTGGGCCGAATCACCGGGGTCGTGGTACATCTCTGCTGAAGGGTCCCAACGACCGACCTATCCCTAAGGGTCCATGTACCCATATAGCATATACTTTGGGCCCAATGTACCTATATAGGGAGTACTTTAAGGCCAATGTATATACTATATGAGTACATGGACCGTGAGGGTATAATTAGGTACTTGGGTTTAGGATACTTAGCATTTTGGAGAGAGTATATGAGTATTAAGTACTTGGAACCTAGGGGTCTCTGCTGAAGTTGACCACTTCGTTATCCCATAAAGGGAACTCCAGAAAGTTGGAATATGGATTAATGCTAGGATCCCCTATAGTTTACCTTAAGGGGGTTACGATAATGATATACTAACTTTCTGGCTTCTACTGTACGTGCAAGTCGGCCGTGCGGCCTCCAGCGTTCCAAGGGGACTGCAAGCGATGGATGCTTGCAGGTCGAACTCGGGTTTCGGGTTTAGGGTTTTCCAACGGGTGCAGGGCATGAGGCAAGATGCTCCGACGTTCTTCATTCGAAGACGATAGATACATGCAATTATTTCTGGGGCGCATCCCCTCTGCACAGGAGTCGGTCCAAGTGCACGAATGCGACATGGTCCCTGTTTGACGCATGTTGAATGACATTTCCTTCGAACCTGCAAGAAAACCGGCCACCTCTGTCAATCATCCTGTGTACCCAGTGAGTATGCTACTGCATCCGATATCCCGAAGGCCTTCTTCGAACCCATGCTCGATAGAGCACGCTAGGTCCGATCGGCTGTGCAGGTCGATCGCGCTCGCATCGCAAGTCACAGACACCATTGACTCCACAAAGTCAGAGATTTTGAAAAGCAAACCTTCGATGGCATTGATAGCGTGCGCGGTGTCTTCTGAGTCCCAGCGGTCGCCAAGACGAATAGGTGCGCGCCCCTTCAACCTAAATGGAACATGCTTATTAGTCCCTGGGAGAATTATGATTACGGAAGAATGCATACTTCCTGAGAACACCCATTAACATATAAGATAGAAATGGAAGAAATCCCGTTTCAAAGCTACACCTTATAAGTCCAATTCAACACAACCTGTATACAGACACTTGTATGGAGAAGTTCATTCATGCTGGCACCTGTACATGAACTCCAAGAGGACCGCGCCCCTTCGCCTGCAGATTGCCGTCTGTGCATAAGACCGATACCGATACGCATTGGACAAGGCCTCTGCTATAGATACTTTCCGCACCCTCACACCCAAACGTACCCAAACCAAACAGCAACCAAAAGCTTCATAAGCGCAAGCGGGGACTACCTCCGCACAGTGACAGTGACTGCCAACCGCAACCACAAAACAAAACAGAATAAACTGTCCTCCCCGAGACCATTATTCCGCAGTGGCCATGCCCAGAAGTAGACTCATATTCCCTTACCAAGAGGGTCCAAGTATACTGCTATTATGGAACGAGGTCCCCCCCAAACCATGAGTAGGATGGTCTTATTTGGGGGGTCTATTTTCACACTAGTAGAATGTAGTATGGACCGTCAAGTTAGCACACACTTCACAGGAGGTTTGGAGGTGAAAACTCCCCTTTGCCTACGACAACCTGCGCCTTTTGCCTTCGGGCGAATTCCGAAACTCTCGCAGATCATCTAGGGGCCTGATTATACTTTCAATAGGGTTTTGGGGCACATGATTAAGGAATCCTAAGAGGTTGGTACGACTAGTTGTTCCGGTGTACATTCCGGGACAATTACGGGTCTGGGCGTTGCAAAGGCTGGAGGGGTGGGGAGTCTTGCAGCCTGAAGGCCTCTCCCTGGCCTCTTAAATCCACAAATCCCCTCAAACCCCAACCCCCCACCCCTCTACCCCCAAAAAGACGAAACCCCTTATCTCCTCTTAAAATACTAGCTCCAAAACACCCAAAAGCCCCAAACCTTTGAATCCCCTGATTCAAAGGGGAAAAGGAGGGACCCTTAATGGGGACCCCTACCCTACAATGGTCTATATTATGAATATATAATAGCTATATATAAGGGTATATACCTAGGGTCCTTATTAAGGGTCCCTCCTTTTACCCTTGGACTGATGGAGCCTTGCCCTTCCAAGCATACGGGTGCGCGAGCTTCCCGAAAATCTGATCCTGAAGGAGGTGTAAGTTTTGCTCCGCGAGGCTCTTAGGCTTGTTTATAGGAGGGAAGTAGTGAATTTGAAAGCGGTGTGGCCTACACTATGTAGGAATATATACATACATGGACCCTGTAAATCAAAGCCCTGCAGGAAACTACAAAACCCTAAACCCTAAACCCTAAACCTACACAACCTGTATGGGGAACCCCTCTACGGGAACCCCCTGGAAACGGAACCCTGGACCGCCAATCGCGAAATTAACCCTGAACCCTAAACTAACGTAGAGGTCCCTTAAGGACGAAATGAACCCTAAAAGGGTTTAAGGTTCATATACCATATAGGGATTCATAGTATATGGGTATAGGGCCCCTACTTTTAAGGGTCATTTCGTCCTTAAGGTCGGAGTAACTGGCAATAACATCCCCTTAGACGAGCAGTGCCTTTCTACGCCTATACATTACTCTCGTGAACTTGTTGTTAAAAACCATAAGCCCCAAATGCTAAGAACCCTTGTTAACACCATAAGCCCCATATCAACCCTAAGAACTCAAACCCCCAAGAAGTGCCGCTGAACCCTTAAACCAACCAACTGGTAAACCCAAAACGAAAACGCTAAACAGTTTACCCTAGTATAGAAAGTTATAAGGACCCTGCACCAAAAACAAATGTTTTTTAGTAACTTAATGTAAACCCTAATCCCCCCCCGAGGCCCCCGGCGAAATGGAAGGCACGCGCTGTGCGAGTCTCCCCACCACCGGACTCAAGCCCTGGGTGGAACAGCAATGCAGAGAGGGCTCTTGAGACAAAATATACAATATCCCAAAGGCCTACCTAGAAAATTGTATAACTATCGTATAATACACCCCCAAACCCTGTTCTAATTATTTGGGGTTTCACTCCTTGCAAGCAACATTTAAACATCTCGTAGCAACAAAGTTTAAGGGGTCAATCGGGGCCATGCACAAACAGGAGTTGACAGAGGTGTCTTGTAAAAACCCTCTTGCAAGCAACATGTAAACATCTCACAGCAACAAGGTTTAAAGGGTAAGGCACACTCTTGGCAATCATATAGTAATACGGGTGACAAGTAGGTATGGGCCCAGTCTTAGCTGTCTGGTAAGCTGGATTGAAATGTCGGGTTTTACTTGAAGGATCTTGGGACTTAGAAACTAGGGCTATGGGTACCGCGATTGGGGTTATTAAGTACCTGATTATAAGACTGATAGGTATAGGTACCCTCATAAATAACCGTAATTACTAAGTCCCATGACCCTCCAAGTGGGGTTCTGCAATTGAGAACTGTTCTCAGAGGGACACGTAGTGCCGGCCATGGTACCACAAGACGGAACACACCCAAGCAGAAGAACGGGACCAATCAGACCACAACTTTACTTTGAAACCGAAACTACGTAAACAAAGGGCAGAAAACTGGCGACAGGTGCTACGATGAGGAGCTATGTGCGATTGTTTCTCTTAAGTTCGGAGCCTTTAACAAGTGGATTAAGTTTCCCTAAGGCTCCATGTACCCATAGAGAATATACTTAGGCTTTAAAGTACCTATACAGGGACGCCTCCAAGGCCGAAGTGGGTTCTATGTAGGCACTTGGAGTCTTAGGGTTTGGGCGCATAGTGATTGAGTCACTGAGCTAAAATTGCGATGCCAGCGCAGAGCCCAACCAGCGAAAGAGCACCTCGAATTCCAAACCGCATACCCCAAGCTACAATAACCTACTTTCCGTAGACTATAGACCCTAAACCGTAATCCCTAAACTCTAAACCTTAAACCCTAATCCTTCAACCCTAATCCCTAAACCCTATATCCCTAAACCCTAAGCTCAAGGGAGTCCCAAGAGCCATCGAGGGTCCAGGAGCTTAACTAAGGAATACCTGGACCTCAAAAGTATGTAGAATAATGGCCCTTTATAGGTTTTGGGCCATTATTTTACCAACTCTTGTGGGTTTAGGTAAACCTTAATATTCCCTAATTCAGGGATATTGGAGTCTCTGACTTCGAAAAGTCCACCACCCCCCAACTACCCTCGAGTAGGGTTTATGATTCAAGGGCTTAGGGTTGCCTTAGACCCCTAATTAAATACCCTCGAAGATACCCCGAATACCCACTATGAAGGGCCATAACTGCTCGCGATTGGGGGGTCGTGGCACATCGGGTTTAGGTTTGGGGGCTTGGGGATTAGGGCTTTGGGGTTGTAGGGGTTTAGGGTTCAAGACTTTGCGGGGTTGGTCTTGAGGAGGACGATTGGCACGACAGAAGACGCACCACAGAGTGGCCGGAGCACGAGTCCACCCCGAAAATGGGCAGGCATGATCAGTGACTATGCACGCCCACACTAGACGCACTAGTTTCAGAATTACGTACGTGACAGATGGTGACAGTGACCCCTATAAACATAGACCGCAAACTGAAAATAGCAGGATCCGCGATTTGAGGCCACCCGGCCCCAAGGAATCACTAAGTTCCAGAAAGGCGTAAACCACTATGACATTCATAGAACCCCTACAGAGCGTGATACAGCACGGGACTATATAATGACAAAAGCACCATACAGTTTACGAACGCTTGAAGCCTTTGGTTCCGGCTTTCTTTGAGGATGCGGCGGAAATCATGGCTCCATTGCCTTGAGCAGTGGAACAGGTCTATGGCTTAGGGTTCCTT